CACACACACACACACACACACACACACCACACACACACACGTGCATACCCATATGACCACATACAGTTGCACACATATACATATGCACACAGAAAATAAGTATCTAATTAGGAATATTTCAGAGGATTTTCACAGACAACTAATACCTCAAAGAACTTGGTATCAGATGTTCTTGAATAATTTATTTTACATTAATGAAATATATTACAAATGTGATACAAAAAAGAAAGATAGATCAAATAAATCAAACGTAGACTAATGAGCTAAAATGAAACATGAATTAAACATTAAATCATTATGATTTTGAAAAAATATAAAAATGAAAATTTAAAATGTACCATGCTAATAACCATTGTTTCTGTTTACAGTTACTGGCTTTGTTAACTGGAAAAATGTCAGGAATACTGACATCAAAACCACAAAGCCACAGCCTTAAATGACTGCTCAGTTTTGACACAACCCAATTCAACGTTTGTAATGACATATTTTTACATGAAATCAAATGTTGAGTTTTTTTCTGTTCTCTTTATATTTTACACACCCAAGAACATACTTACACTAGGAACACGAGAGTGCTCAGGCTAACAATATTTAATACAGATCTATTTAGACACTTAAAAGAGCATGCTCTTTAATTAGATATTCTCAGACCCTAAAATTGCCTCGGCTCATGTGGGATAAACCCATATGTTTATGATGGTCTGCAATTTCTGCAAATTGTTCACCATATGGTGTTATGAGAACATTTAAAACTATGTTGAACCCTGGCTGTATTAAGAATCTCAGCAGTTCATGCACGCTTTTGAAGATGGGTGTAACTTCAATTTTTTTGTGTGTACCTTTTATAAGTTCTTTTTATGTAACAGATGGGATGCATTTGCTCAAAGAAATAAAGTAATTACATTTTTTTTAAGTCAGTCATGAATCTAAGCAGTTCCTCATCCTGGCAATAAACATCTACTCAGGAAACTTCTAATGATTTTAACAATAATTATATTGGCGTGAGGATGATGGATACATAATTGATGATAATAATTTTACTCTTGTGGAGTCTGATTTACCTAAGCAATTTGCTTTGAGAAGTGATGCTTTGGTTATACTCTAGCTGGCTTCACAGTGGTTCCATCACTATTCTGCTAAGAAGCATGAGGTGTAAGATACAGCATCTCATAAATGGACTGGGAAGTACCAAGGAAAAAGTGTGGTGACTCAGGAGATCATTCTGTTGTATAGGTTGAACCCATGGCACACTCGAATTTTAAATCATGCATTTAGCTTACCACTGAAAAACGCATTGTACCCACTCTTTCAATGTTATCCTGTAATGTGTGGGAAGTGAAGAAAATAATGTCTTACCACCATGTTGGCCAACTCTTGCATGCACCACAAAAAGTCATTGAAAGAAAAATTTCTGTGGTTACTTTGGATTTGGGGGAAGAACACAGAGATGCTCATAAAAATTCAAGATCAAAACAAGATGTGGTGGGTCAGGCCCTTAATCCCAATGCCAGGAAGGCAGATCTCTGTGAGTTTGAAGCCAGCCTAGTCTATATAGAGCTGGATACACAGTGAGACCCTGCCTCAAAAAAAAATTCAAGATAAAGTATTACAGTGTATTTAGTTTCTAGAAAAATATAATAAGACTTTTTTTAAAAAATCAAGAGAAAAGGAAAAGATAAACATAAAACCAAAATAAAAATGTGCAACTAGCTTCAAATAGAAACAGATTTGATTACAAAGGAAGATAATATCAGATTTAGATTAAGAATAAAAGTTATACAAGATTATGGATGGCTTATCTAAAGCAAATGGACATTTGAAAAAGACAACTGGAAAAGGAATTGATACGCACT